ATTAGCAGATACCGAAACAATCAAGACCTGAAGTAGACTTGCCTCAAACTTCAAAGCATGCAAGAAAGAAACTTCCTGCATGCAATAGTTTCTCAGACATGCCACAAACTTTGTTTATTTTTATATGTCGATTTTTGAATCGAAAAACACATTTTTTGCTATTACATAAAAAAGACCCAATTCCAAAAGTAGGGTTGTGATTTTCAACACAAACAGTAATGTTTAGTGTCCAAATGATGACATAACAAAAATAAACCCTTGTGTTACATGAATCCGAGTAATCTTTGGTTTTAACTGATGATTACTACTCATGGAGGATTACAAAATTAATGGACAGTTGTGGGTCAATGGAAACCATTTATTTCAACAGTGTAGCATGACACTTTCAAAAAAATTTAAATCTATATGTGGCTGAAGTAACTATTGAAAGTCTGAATAACAAATATTATAGTTTAGTTATTGACAAGTTTGAGATCTTTTTGGGGCAAAGTAGCATATAATTATATACTGGTAGCATTGTGTTATAGAACTAAACTTTGAGCCTTGTGCAAGCCACTTTTAGAAATTCAACACTGTAGTTCCATTATGACCAGGAACATTATAGCCTGTTTCACAAGGTGGTATTTTCAGGTAGAAGTCGTACAATAGTTTTAAAAACAAGCACAAAAGGCCAGCTAAATATACTAGCTCCTAATCTAATGTAACGGTAGTCATTGATTTGGAAATATGTAAATGTAGAAATAGAAATTTCCAAGTATGCTACCAGGGTATGAGTCAAAGTTGTCCACTTTCGGCTCTACAAACTATGCTAGTTGTTTTGAGAAAGAACATCAACAATTTTATTTGAATTCCACTTCACTAGGGCTTTTCAATTCAAGAAAGACACACAAAAACAGTGGGGAGACAAAAATGTGTCTGGTATAATACAGCATGTAATTCAATAGCGGGGTTTCACCACCTACTTTGGTTTTCACAAAAGTCAAGAAACGAGTACACCACCAGGTCACATAAACAAATAAGCTTATTTAACGAATCGTCTTCATTATAAATTTCTGTCCAAAAATTATTCAGTAGAACTTTTACTGCACCAGGAAATTGTAATTACATCTTTAGGGAAGTACTTCCACGCACCACAAAACAAACCATGTTTACATCTAAGAATGAGGTCATATAGTGGGATGAGAATACAATCTTGTTTTAGACACCCAGACCATAGAGTCTTGTATTTCGGGCTCAAAGACGTTTGTAGATGCAAACTAATGATGTAAAGTATGCATTAGATCAGACAACACCTTGCCCTCATGGACTATAGCTTTACATTAGCAGAGCCCACACTAGTGTTGAAATAATTTTTGCCAAACTGTTAGACAAATCAAGATTTTTTTTGACAAACTATTTGTTTAGCCAACTGTAAATTACCGGTATAAAAAAAATAGCCATTAATGAATGGGCAAGGTAAGCCCTGATTAGTGAGATTTAACACAAAATTCAGTATTTTCATAGTTCCTAGAATTGTAAATAAAAAGATATTCTGTAGGTCATCATGCACATCATTTAAAAATGTTACTGTTAGTCAGAATTATGAAAGATGCCAAAAAAAAAATATTCAAATATTACCAAAAACCGGCATAAAATCACACTTTTATGACCATTTAAAAAAAAAATCAAAAAAAATCGACCTGTATCAATATTAAGACAAATTGACCAAAAACTCAGAGACTGAACATTGTAAATACTAAGTACATCCTCACTTAATATTTAATGAAAGCAATCAACATTGCAGAGAGAAACAGTTACCAGGAAAACATGTGGCAGCTATCAGTCACATGCATAATGTACTATTTAAACTTAATGTCTCATTGGGTTTTTATTCTTTATACTGACCAACCCATTCATAGTAACTGAAACCATTAGGAAACCAAGAGAAATGCAATGACATTCTCTTTTTGTAGGTTTTGTTGTATTTTTTGTGTAAACACCATTCAGTATGTCCTGGTTACAGAAACATGACAAAGCCATGACAATTGCATATGCACTGAATAACAAAACTAACATTAATGATCACTAAGATATACTTTGTAACAACAACAAATATATATTTCTGTTCATATTAATATTTACATTTTATTTTATTTCCATTAAAGCTTTTGCAAGCATCACAACTGGTTGCAAGCTACTCTCAGCTACGGTCACACACAGACCTGTACTCAATTTAGTTTTAGATTTGTTGGTGACTGATCTAAGTTAACAGAAACCAAGATGTACATGTAAGTTGTGGATGAAATAAAAGTGGATTAATTAAAGATTTTCTAAATAATCGACCTAATTAAAGCAGTGATCGATTGACTCAAATTATTTTTTATTGTAAAACATACCATTCTGTTCCTAAAGTGTATAACCTGGCATTTATTCTGTTAGCATAAGAGAAACTATTTACTTGATTATTAAAACAGAACTTCACAATCACAGTAAACATAATTACACACACAATATATAACCATTGCCAGAATGAAAATATTGCTATATTAAAATCAAGGGCGCAGTGTTGTCAAGGTGATACCAATTATCCACTGCCCTTGATCAGCATTAAACTACATGTATTAATCCTTTAAAGCGATTCAAGTGGCGGCAGCTAGTTATATCCAAAGCCACATATTGAAATGCAGAGTAGGGAATACAAAGGTTGTTGGCTGTATGAAATGAAATGATAGTTTAAACCACTCTTGATTCCCTTCTGGTGGTGACAGGATATCTATTGATGATTGAACAATACTGTTCGACTGTGAACACAGTATTTATGGATTATTGTTCATACTGAAACAGCTGGTATTTGTTGTGTTTTTTTCACAGAGTTGTTGTTTTTTTAAATATGGTACTAGTTAAATGCTGATACATGTATATAGCCCTGATTTTGATTTTTGTTTATAATAACGTGTTTACAAATTTAAAATAAGCTACCATTTTGACAAATTTAAAATGCTGATTTAAAGATGAATATTTTACATTATTTAAGTTTCAGAAAGATCTTGTACAAAGTTGAATTAATAATACCAAAATATATAAATATTGAGATGCAGTATTTTCTCCATTAGTAGCACAAGATTACATTAAAATAACAAAAGTGTACAATATATGCAATATTTGGTGTATGTGTGCTCCTACATGTATGAAAGAATGGAATTCTTCAAAGTGTTTAAATTAAACTATTTTGTTATCAACTATTGGGAGATGAACCTATTGTACGGGCCGCATGGTACTTAAGGAATTCATTAATATAAATCTGTTTAATCTAATTAATAAGGTATTTTAATCTTATTACTACAATTTGGATTCCAAACAAGCCTATCAATGACCAAGGAATGTGGGTTTACTAATCATTCGTATTTACGGCATTTTTCAATAATTCAATCCAGTAAACGATTTCTTTTTCCTCACTTTGCTATTTAATAGTGATGTAATTCCACGAGTAGCCACTGTGACTCCTAGTTTTAAGAACATAGAAAATAGATTGTGCACATCCCTGAATAGAAATGTTTACAGAAATGTTTCTCTTGTGGAATAGGTAGATTGTATTTATCAATATACATGTGTTAGTTATGTTTTGCAGTAAAGTTAATATTGACAATATACAATCCTGTAGTTTTGAAACGAGTAACTTTCAAATCATCCCTTGAAATGAATGAGAGAATCATATAATATTTTTATGAAATTCCGGCACCATAACCAGCTACATTACAAATTGAGCAAACTTATTGGTAGTATGGTGAAATGACCATAGTATTTTAATGTCTCCTTTTGACACTGCTTTTACCCATACAGTTCTGATTAAATAACAACATCAAGATGAATGTCCATAGTAAAGCAGTCAGTGAGTTAGCTAACCAACAATGGGGCTGTTTTAATATACCGATATAGCAATATGATTAAAAAACACTTGGACTGTAAAAACTACAGTAATTTGCAGTGCAAGGCAGCATTAAACTTAAAACCAAACCTTGCAAAAATCATCAATCTGTAAGAGTTCAGTTCCTTTTCTAAAGACTCAAAATTACTTTACAAAGACATCTACAAACTAAACACCTGAACAATAATCTCAGTTCTGTTGATGATCAGAGTGCTTACAATGTATGAAACACAACAAAGAGTGTGGACAGTTTTTCTACAAAAGATATTAGCTGAAACATAACATTTCATATACCCTGAAGGTAAATCAATTCCGAAAGAGACTCTAATCTTACCAGACACTAGTAAATAAGCCAAATAATGGCATCAAGTTCTTAAGAGTAACAGTAACAGTTTGGAAATGCATACCATCACAGTATTGTTGTTTTCTAGTTGAAAAGCACTTGTGAATAGTGAGCCTTCTGGGCAGCAAGGTATCTATCACTTCTATTACAAATACTTGATAATTCTAATAAAGAATATGGTTCAACAAAGCTTTCAAGCAACTGTTTTTTTTTCGTAATTTTGTGAGTAGGTAACCAGATTTAGGGGATCCCCATTTTATATCTGGAGGTGAGCTGGCAGTTTTTGAAGAAGAAAAAAATTCTATGATGAATGCATATTGTTAAAGAACTGGAAAAATCGTCAGGCATATGTAAATAAAATATTTAACAAATAGGTGACCAGCAGTAGCAAGGAGACAAGTATTTTGCTGCCTGACAACTTAAATAAACCTTTTAGGGCTTAATTATTAGCAGGGTTTTATTGTCGCTTATATCACCAGATAGCTAAATGTGCTAAATTAAAACCTAGTGAATATTCAAAATTAACAATAGAATGTATTTAAAACCTTATTAATATATTCCTGTGACAACAAATTGGTTAAAAGAAAATCCAGGTAATATTCCTAAAGGATTTGTTTGAATTTGAAAATTTTAATTAGTACTGTAGGTATGCTATACTAAAATTTGTTATTCACAGTAAGTTACAGTCACCAATGAAAGGATACACCAATAAAATGTTGTAAATAATTAGTAGCTCATTATATTTTAGCTTACCTTCGCTATCTTTAAACTTCTTGATTGCCACCATCTCATTTGATTCCTAAAAGAAACAAATAAAATCTCATGAGAATACTTGCTAGCAATTGGTGGTATGATGCCTAGTAGAATAATGTTTGGCGTGAGAAATGATCACAACTTGATTATTTAAGGGTGTTTAAATGAGAAACAAATATCACACCATTCGCACTGATTGACTAAATTGAAGGTTTACTGTATTTTTTTCTCTCATAAATGGATTTCAACATCAGTTATCAAAACTGTTTTCAGTGTATCTATAGGGAAATGCACATTCTTGTGGAATCATCTGTTCAAACACTGACTGTGTATAAAGCACTGATTAAATTCAAGAACATTAAAAAAATCATATTCCTCTGCATTATACAACTTTAAATAATACAAGTTGTACCATTGATATTTCTAATTAAATTACAAAACATTTTTCATATAACAAATTTTCTCTCTAGTCTACAGCTTTGTTAGCATCTGTAGCATGAATAGTTTTTATTAAACACTGGAGGGCTATTTTGTTAGAAATTTAATGGACAGACAACTGATCAAACACTAACAGAAAGCTTTATGTATAAACTAATTGTAGCCTCTACACGGCTATAAACATAACTCACCAATATACATTATAAAGTAAATCATTATTTTATTTTTAAACTTTATTTCATGCATATAGGTGGTTCAGTGAATGTAAGAGATTCTTAAACTTTTGTAATCTAGCGTCTCAAAACTAAAAGAACTTGGATACCATTGCCGTCTATTCCGTAAAAGGTGAGAAAACTGACAATGGTGGTGAAAGCAAAGGGTTACTCACAATTGTTGTACACAATAATAACAGGAAAATTAAAGGATCAGTACATCTTTGATCAAAACTATTCAGAAACTGAGCCAATGAGTTTAGCCAAACCTCACAATGCTTTAAATTTATTTATACAACCTATATCGAGACTACAATTTTAATTTCAACATAGCAACTGCGAATTCATGAATTATTCTACAATTTGCAAAAAATCAGTACATCTTTGATCAAAAACTATTCGGAAACTGACCCAATGAGTATAGCCACACCTCAAAATGCTCAAAGTCTATTTATACAATCCATACCAAGGCTACAAATTTAATTTGAACATAGCAACTGCAAATTCAAGGATTTTGAATTTGAAATTATTCTCTGATTCACAACAAAAGTTGAGAGGTCAACTAACACACTTTACAGAGAATAGATTCCCAATCAGGCTTTGCTTTATGTAAATATGATGGAGTTTACAACTCAGATAAGACATTTTAAATGCTTGTCGTACATGGTCATCTGACTTCTAGACAAACACTGCCCACATTCCATTCAAATTTTGCAGGTACTTTTTCTGCATGAAAAAAATTTCATGAGCAAATTAGATTGTCTAATCCCAATTTTTCAGCTCAATTGAACATTCCTAGGAATTTTTCGATGATTTCATTTCCACGGTTCACCTCTCCTGGCCTATGTTTTCATCTGTGGGTAAACCACTAAAGACAAGTGGGTGTGGGTACCTATGATACCCTCCAGTGACTCGGACTAGTTACCATGTTACCAAGTCCACATCATAAATAAGCACGCATAGCAAACTGACACATTAAACTTGTTTTAAATTTGTGTAAACAGTACAAAAATGTTCAATTAGTTTGATTTTGTTAATTTGGCAGAATTAAAATAATCAATATATTACGATATCCAATTCAAGCTTCAATAAATAAAATAATGATCATCCTTCTTCTGGCTGTCACACCTCAAAGTTTAAGGTGATAAACTCCAGAAAACGACTATATTCGTATTCAAGTCTGTGACACTGGCCACAGACCACACTAAGAAACAGAATCTTTTAGCTAGATGAACTGTAGTAAACAATAACAGTGTGTACAAGACACGACAACCGGATTATTTAGAAGTTTTTCTCACCTTATGTCTGCACTTCAGCACAACCCCATAGGCACCTGAAAATAAAAATGCACTGATGAGGATACACTGAAAGAACGTGCAGGTATCATTAATAGTGATAATGATCAATTCAGTGTAAGAGAAAATAAAAAGTTTTAAGTCATCATTTTCACAAAAGCAGCAGACTACTCTATGGCAGGTAGGTTCGGGTCAAGGCTTCGACAGTGACATATATTCAACTTGCGTACACGCGAACAAATACTACAAGCAACGGACACTTTTTTTTTTATTGCGGCATAATAAATAAATAAATAAAATTCTTCACAGAAAGGCCAATTGAAAAATATCTACATAAATACATAAAATGCTAGCATGTCATAACAATCAGTCAACGACTCGTCAAAAGTGTCGCAAAGTTTTCTTCGATGAACGACGTACCTTCGCCAACTATACCCAAAACTTCGTACTTATTCATTACATATCAATCATTGCCATTAATTCCAGAGTTTCTATCGATGACTTCCAAGCGCTGTGTTGGACAAAGCCGACTTCAATGACCAAACACGACTCATGGCACTAGATTACTACGATTTGGTCCTAATAATATCCATTGTCGAGCAAGATCGAACGAGCTTCGTGGTACCCGCTGAGGGGGTATTGGTCAATCACACACGGTTTTTGTAGAAATTATAGTAAAATATATGATAAATAACCACAGACCAAGGCCCAGTACCGTAAATAACACTACGGTGACAACAGTCTCAGTAGGAAACGACAACGAAGAAATAAAACCAGCTGTATCTATGAACACACGCACACTGCTCGACGAGCTGACGATGAAATTTCAGTCCTTGCCAACACGTATCCCAGAATGCACCAAGAAATAAACATTTCGCGTGACGTTGAGTTATGCGCATTCCGGATTGCAGCGTCATCAATGTCTGTGTATATTACGATTAGACCACCTGGATGTCAAATATACCAAACTCATTTACAAAATTATTTATCAGATTACCAAACGGACTAGCACCGATGTACTTTGACACTTTTTTTTTCTTAAAAAGTCAATAATCTAAAGGAGTTATTGGTCCTCCTCTGTCTATATGATGGTCGCAATATAAGCAGTCAAATAGACTTTTAAAACATATCGCTGGTCTCACACTACAAAAACAGTTTACGTATGTGACAATGTATATGTGAACTCATAGGAAACAAACACAAAAATAGCATCAAATACGAGCAAAAATAAATACTACCAGTATGTTAATTGAAGTAACTATACGGCGCGCACTTACATGAGTCGGACAACCTTCGTACATCTCAACATAAGCCAATATAGTGAAGAGGATCCACAAAGTAAGATTATTTTACTCATATACAATGAATCGTCTGTATATCTACATTTAAAAAAAATAATCAACAATATCATATCAATACTTACATATGCAAAGTTCTCAAAAAATGAGCCCAATCAACCATACTGTGCTCATAGCGATCGTAGAGGGCAGTAGGTAGCCCCATGTAACAATAAATATTAAAGTTAAGGTGATAGACACTCACTGTAAATACAAGTGGATGGATGTTACTAAATTCCCGATCCCAAATAACAAGTGTAAAACTGTGATCATATTTAGATGGCATTTTGGAATCCTTCTTTACAGAGAGTTATTTGGAGAATAATTTTATTTGAATGAACTACTGAGACAAGTGCGAATATTATATTATATAAAACACATCGTAGTGCGGATGAATAAGAATCAAATATGAATGTAATAAATACAGTATATAAGTCACCACGAATACGTACATTATAACACATGTCACTACGAATACGTACATTATAACATAACACGTAACTACGAATACGTACATTATAACATAATACGTAACTACGAATACGTACATCAAATCATAATATGTCACTACGAATACGTACATTATAACATAATAGGTAAATACGAATACGTACATTATAACATATGTAACTACGAATACGTACATTATAACATATGTAACTACGAATACGTACATTATAACATAATATGTGACTACAAATACGTACATTATAACATAATATGTAACTACGAATACGTACATTATAACATAATATGTCACTACGAATACGTACATTATAACATAATATGTCACTACGAATACGTACATTATAACATAATACGTAACTACGAATACGTACATTATAACATATGTAACTACGAATACGTACATTATAACATAATATGTCACTACGAATACGTACATTATAACATAATATGCCACTACGAATACGTACATTATAACATAATACGTAACTACGAATACGTACATTATAACATATGTAACTACGAATACGTACATTATAACATAATACGTAACTACGAATACGTACATTATAACATAATACGTAACTACGAATACGTACATTATAACATAATATGTCACTACGAATACGTACATCATAACAAATATGTCACTACGAATACGTACATTATAACATAATACGTAACTACGAATACGTACATTATAACATAATACGTAACTACGAATACGTACATTATAATATAATATATAACTACGAATACGTACATTATAACATAATATGTCACTACGAATACGTACATTATAACATATGTCACTACGAATACGTACATTATAACATATGTAACTACGAATACGTACATTATAACATAATACGTAACTACGAATACGTACATTATAACATAATACGTAACTACAAATACGTACATTATAACATAATATGTCACTACGAATACGTACATTATAACATAATACGTAACTACATATACGTACATTATAACATAATATCAGCTGATAATAAATAAGACAAAGCGATTGAAAAATTACATTAGGTCAACTATTACTTATTGACAACAGTTACATAGAGATAATTTACATATTAAAATATTGTAGAAACTTTTAATTTTACTATTTACTAACATTTATTGCATATTTTGAATCATAATATTTTTTCCGAATGGAAGCAATAAACAACAGGACGAAAAAAACACACAAAAATATACATAGAAGCAATATAAACTGTGTACTGTTATTTCTAACACAGAATACTACTCCATTCTGCGTTTAGTTTTCCATGTTGATCGACATCTGTTATACGTGTCATAATAAACACAGTAAACGCCGGTAGAGGGCGCTGGTCTTGACGGTGAGAAGCGCGACGGCAAGCCTTGACGCACGTTTTCAGAAACATGTATTTATGAGAATATTTCAGAAGCAGCACTCTAAAACTGACTTGAAGTTTCACAATTACCTAAGACGAATCATAGGTCATAGGCTTTTCCTGTAATTCGATTTAATTATTGAAACCGTTTTCATTTCCTCCTAGAGTAATACATAAATGAAATGAAATGTCACCTCAAAACGAGGTAATATTTAATTACTAGTACGTCATGTAACCATGGGTTTAGTTTCAAAAGATATTACCGGGCCCTATTTTTGGCAATGAAAAAGAGCTAATAATTTCAGCATTTATTTCAGCAGATTATAAGTATTGTTATAAAATCACCCAAAATCGTTGGTTTATCTTCAAAAAACGCAAATTCTGTAGAAATACGGGTTGAACTTCATAACATACCCATAGTCAGGGTGGGTTGCATGACACGATTGGTTGAAATACTCGTCTCATTTGCATACATTAATATTCATGAGCAATGAAAAACTCGTCTTCTCAGTAAAATTGTGCCAAAATGCTTTCCGATAGCATAAATGTTAGTTCTAAACTGATTGATTCTATCGTTACGAGCTGAAAAAATAATCGGAAAAATGATGTAAAAGTAATTTTTGAGACACGTTTTCGATCAGACTCCAGCTAACTATTGAAAGTAAACACAGGTTTTCTCTTTACCATGATCATAGCAAGTTATGAAATTAATGGAGAATGCAGAGGCACGTTTATAATTCACTCTAGTACTATTGCTCAAAATGTTTTCGGTGACTTTTATCAGTGACAAGTTACCTAATTAGTATGCATTTCAATGAACCACAGTGTGTGTGCATGCGCAGTTTGAAATGGAACAGATTTGAACGCAATAAAATCACGCGTAGTACTCGGGCTCCAGCAAGAAATTGTGGCGTCAAACTGGTTGTCGGTTGAATTGTTTTGAAATAGACATAATTTTGTAGCCTGTATTTGTCTATGAAATGTTTCTAAGTTTTATTGAGGATTATTCTGTAAAGGAATGGCTGAAATTATTTTATCTGTTCGTAAACGGGACGTTGTTGCTTGACGATGGGCTACGGACGACTGACGTCGAAACGTTTCATTCAGATCAGATGGCGCCCTCTCGTTCCAATCCCCCCCCCCCGCCCATAGTTACAAAAGTGATATATAGTTTTTTTTTTTCTGAAGGTATTGTCGTGGCGACACACCCCTGTCATTTTATCAGAGTAGTAACACTCTCTTACTTGATGGCGTAATGAATGAGAAAAATGGAGAGGGCTAGACGATTTGTTCAAAGTCGGTACGAGTCGATATTCTTTTCAAAAGTTAAAATGCGTGCTTTTGGGCAGGAGAAGGGATTCGTTCGATTCTCACACAGCAGCGTGTCTTGTCGTTGCACGTGGCAAGGTAGATGGAATGATGGAATAGTCATGGGAACGCACAGAACACAGTTAGAACACAACACAGCAAAAAGGAAACAGTCTGTTTGCGTTATTGCGAGACTAATCTACTGCCAGTAAATCTGCGACAAAGTTTTATCCGACTATGGGCCGTGGAACCAGAGGCGGTGGTAAGTTATACGGATACATATGAAAGATCACAGTTAGTCATTTTTTATTTTAGGTTAATCGTTTTTTTTTTTTTATAATCAACTCCCGCCCTTTGTCTGACTAACAGTACTAGTACCTCTATTGCGACAAAACCGAAATGGTTAGGTTGGTCCGACATTATGTTGCTTCACTGCACCTATCGACGTGAGTCTTTTATTGTATAGCACTGTACTGAAAGATGTGTTTGAGGGTTGAACTTTTGTACGCTCCGGGAGAAAAGACAGAAAAATCGTGCAAGTCATGTTTTCTTTATCTCATCTAGTTTTAAACTAGATTTGTGTTGCTACATATACCATCAGATGTGTTATAAATAAAGTTTGGTTTTCCTCTTATTTTCTATGTAGACCCCTACCAAATCTTCTTGGAATGTCTAATGTTTGGCCCCTCGTGTGTCGAACTTGGAATTTGGCACGCGTGTCCATATTTAGATAAAAAAAAGAGACGCCACTCTTGTAGCTCCACAACGTCAATATACATTCCAGTGCAGCGTATTGTTGTGCATATGTCAATCACAATCGACAACATTACCCTGAACTTGAGATGGCTTTAGTTCTGAAAATGGTGACGAGCTGTTTTGTCAAGTATTTCAAAGTTTGAATAAACACTATTAAACAAACGCAAACTAAAATATATCATGCACATTGTGACAACACGATATTATGGACCGCTATAATTTTGAAATTTGAAGTTAATAATAAGTCTATTTTTGTTATAGGAAAGAAAAAGAAAAGGAGGTCTACTCCCGATAAGAAAAAGAAAGCCGCGACTAAAACGGGGAAATCAACAAACCTAACAACTGACACATATGAGCTCGACGCAACTGAATCGATTAACAAAGTATTAACCGCTGGTCCTGAGTATAACGAGGCTGAGGAGATGAAAGAGTTGGCCGCTCAATTGACTGCATCCCTCATGAAAAACTTACGCACAGTAAGCGAAGCACAGATGCTTGAGAATCTAGAACGAAGGGGTGAAACAGACTCCCACAGGGAAACAGGCAGTGAGTGTAGTAGCACCGTGGCCGAAGATTGCGACGTTTCAAACGACGAGGTTTCGGTGTATGAGACAGAAAGTGTTGCTATAGCGACAGAACAGTCACAAACACGCGCATGGGGTCCCCTAAAACCAGTGATTGAAAACGCGGATAGCCAGAACTGGCCCCCAATTGCCAGCAATGCAGCGAAACCAAACGACACCAAATGGCCGCGACTGGGAAAGGACGGTTCAAATACACGCGACAACTTGAAGTTACCCATAGTTACGAGGCAGGTTGACACGGACTCAGTTAACTGGCCTGCATTGGGTAAACCCGTCACAGAAACAGAGACACACAACTCCGATAATAACAAGATACTGGGAAACGATGAAAAGGAAACACGTGAAGGGACTGACACGCATATTCCCCAATCTGAAACGAACTTAGTCCTCAAAGAATGCCCCCAAACCGACCCAGTAGCAACCATGTCCCCTCCACATACAGACGTAGAAAAAATCAACTGGTGTTCTCCTCCCATCTCCGCGCACGATAGACGTGAGTACAGAGAGGAACGTTTGGAGTCAGAACTTAGAAGTATGTTGAAACGAGAGAACTTTGATTCACCCGCAGGATGGAATATAGGCGAAATACGTAACATTTCATTGAACCAACTGGCGGAAAAACAGAGCACGCATTTATGGAGCTGCGTACTTGGTGATCAAATTTCAAACTGTATAATGCTGTCACAGTACGAACTACAGAACATACTGCGCACAGACTTGGAGTAAGTATATTGGGGGCGCTATACACTGATGTCTTTTGGATGGCCCTGTAACGTGATTTGATTTACATGTAAACTTGTGTAGCTACTAGCCTGACATGTATAAA